CTGCCGTAGAAACTACTACTGCTTCAGCCGTAGAAACCACTGTCGCTTCAGCCGTAGAAACCACTTCCGGTCCTGCCGTAGAAACCACTGCCGGTTCTGCCGTAGAAACCACTGCTGTTTCAGCCGTAGAAACCACTGCTGCTTCAGCTGTAGAAACCACTGCCGGTCCAGCCATAGAAACCACTGCCGGTTCTGCCGTAGAAACCACTACCGCTTCAGCGGAAGAAAGTACTCCTGTGCGCTAATGTGCAGTGTTATTCCAAATCGCCTTCAGAAATGAACACTTTCATTCTCTCTCCAAAATCCTAAATTGGATATCTCATTGACAGAGGTACAGTGTGCCAGTTCCCAAACACCATGGGTTATTGCACAATGCAGGAAAAATGTTTCATTTTAGTACTCAGTTTTGAACTCGACTACTATTTTTTTCCATAAATAACAACCCTGGGATGCCACATTCAAGTACTTCAGTAATTAAAATAAATAAATCACGCCTGCTAGCAACTCCCTTCCAGGGTAAATGCTAATTTTTTCTCTAGTTATTCACAGATATTTTTTTCTGGTTTAGCACTAGCTGTGCACACATTTGCACTAATGTCCAGCATGAATTTTTTCCACACCATTGATGCCATCATTTTGTCTGGCTTCATGTAGATTGTAAGACTTATACGTGCTAAACTTTTCGTGGCTGAATACTTTTCGTTTTTAATTCGTTCTTCGATTTGTGCCTCTACCAATTTACCACATACTGGGTATTATTGACAACATATATAAGACATTTTTACTCAACCGGTTTGGTTTAAGTGATGTAAGGACTCCATTAGAACACTGTTGACTCGCACATTTGGTAGAGTGCGTTCATACAATTTGCGTAGTAAAACGACCAAAGTGAAAACTTTGAAGACCATAGCTTCGATCAATTTTAAGATAACATGAAAAAAATGCTGCCCTTTACTATTAGCCATTTTTCTTTTTACAAAAACAAACTAATATGTCATTTCATTTGTCTACTGTTGATTCAAGCTAGTTGAGAGTGAACTAAATATTTCGGTCTTTAACTCATTTTGGGAAACGGGTCAAGGCATCAACGTTCATATAGCGAATAACTTGCAGAGAATTAATTTTTTTCGAATACAGCAGTTTATCAATGATATAAACCAAAAACAATCTTCTTCAATATATGATACTATTTATTTTACGTTTGGTATAATCACAGATACACTTCTCCCTTGCTCAAAATATTACAATGTTTGCTTTGAATTTCTGGCGACTGTCATAGAAAATATTTTCATCCTGACAATTAATAAAACGGCCATTTTGGCATAAATCAAACACCAAGCTCAGTCCTTCCGTCTTACGTCGCATGTCAGGATTCATAGTTTTCAGTTTGCATATCGTTCAGTCCTAAGATTTCATTCTGATCGTAATTCCTGTCATAGTGTTCCACTGTCATCTCTGGGTCTGGCTCTGGAGCATACACATTCTGTGAAGAAATAAACCAAAGAGGGCATCAAAAGGCAGCATCACATCTTCAGAATTTATACGTAATTCAATATCATAACGAATTCACCAAGATGGGACTCCCTCTCGCACCGCCCCCCCCCCCAAAATAATAATAATAATAATAATAATAAGTTAATTTGTTTATTGATAAAAAATTATTTATGTTCATTTTGTTTCATTTATGATATAAAAATGATGACAGAGTGAATCAGAAAGACAGTTCTGACAATGTATCTACAGTTACTTTTTTGAATGAATGAAGTGAAACTTCTTTAACCACAAAATTAATCCAACAAGCTCAAGATAAAAACAAAACATCATTACAACTCAATAGAAGCAACATAATATTATCAAGGGTTCACTCTCTTTGGTCTGGAACATATTCCATAGACTATCATATTAATTGTTCCCAGCTGGATTATTAAATACTGGGTCTTTGCCATCATGCTAATTTTTGATTTAAGTCCTTTCATAAATTAATTACTGGTGATTTTTTGCCTCTGAACTTTTTTCAGAATTGGCAAAAATCAAAAGCACAAACGTGATGAATTTCTCCAGCATGAACCCAGTGGAAGAATTATTAACTTACCTGAATGTAACTATTACCAGCAGGGTCATCCAAAATAATGTGCACATCTAGCCTCTTGCCACTTATGATCTACAATGTACAAAAATAAGTCCCATTTGCTGCAGAGTGCATCCCTATTATTAGCTTTAAACATGCGGCCATATGACTGACTATTGGGTTTGACATTTAGAGACTAAGTAATACTAGATTCTAAACAGAGACAAGGCTAATCAGACTAGTAGGCATTTCAAGTCATTTTTTTATCATCTACAGACTTCAAAAAAGTGGTTTTTGGACCACTTGTCCCAGTGACCAATGGACTAAATAGTCTAAGGCACAGACTGGACAACCTACTATTCAAGCTATATCTTATTTAGAGAAAATTTTGGAGCAGTATGGCAGACACTCTTCAGTCTTGCTTTGTGCTGTGGTTGATTTTTATACTTTCAAGAACTTACCTCTTCCAACCTGGCACAAAATTCCTGCACCTTGTTCCTAGTGTCAGACTGTGAACTATCTCCTGATATAAAGGGATTTTCTTCTCCTAGCTGAAAAGGTTATATCCAATTTTAAATTAAGTGTTTTGTCTTTTCATTCATTTAATACAGGTTTGTATGAAAGTAATTTGAATGAATGAAAAACTGCATATTCCTCGTAAAGAGTATCTACAGAAACAATTCAGACTAGAATATAAGAGGTAATACTGCCTCCTGGGTAGGTACCACCAGCTGGATTAGGCAATTAAAGGGATCACCTTAGTAAATATAAAATATTTAAAACAAGCTATGCACACTTTTCAATACTGGCATATAATAGCTGATGCAAATATCAAAATATAACTTAGGCAGCACAAGCTAGCACTAACTTATAGTTTATAAAATACAGTAGTTTCCCCTAAACCAACAACTGGAAAAAAGGGATCAACCCAGAGTTTAGCTTGTTCTTCTTTTTCAATTTCTGTTATAACTTTAACCTTTTACCTTGACAAGTGAAATGGCATACATTGCAATTTGACAGATTAAGTATGCTGCCCAACATATTACATTTTGTTTACATGTATGCCATCTCTTTAATTTGGTAACAGTTTCTCTCTCTCTCTCTCTCTCTCTCTCTCTCTCTCACACACACACACACACACACACTCAAAAGCACACATAAAAACATACAGAAATACTGAAACACATTTACCTGCCCCTTGATATCAGTGAGGATACCCTCTACAGTGGTGAACTTTCCTCCCAAAGTGCCATGCTCCAATGTGAGTTCTAGCTCAGGAATCTCAAGTCCACATGTGTCAGACTGAAACGGGGAGAAAAATCTGGTCACTTCCCAAATTAACACCCCACTACATGAGTCATTTGGTCAGTTTAATGGACATATGCATACTGGGTTTACACTAGGATACAAAGTCCTTCAGACACTCATCTTGGTGATTTCAGTAAAATCAGAAAACAAAACCAAATCAATCACATAACAGAAGAATAATATGTCAAATTACAACACCCTAAGCACTGAACTTAAAATCACTATTATTACTGATGCATCTCTGAAGATCTACTACTTCAGAGATGCATCAGTAATAATACTTTTTTCTTTAAGATCTATACGGTGAATTGACATGAAACTTAAAATCACCAAGCAAACAATGAACTCAAAATATAATTATAGCAATCCTACCTTCAACAGATCCCTGGACAGGTCAGAGGGATCAGTCAAATGAAGCGATATTTTAATGCCTTTGGGTTCAATCCCAGCGCCTCCCTTCACCTCATTGTCTTTGGCGCCACATACATCACACACGGTGGCCATGATAACAACCTGCTTGAAGTTTGGAATATCTGGACTATGTTAAGGAGATATTATATATTATACTGTATGAAGGCAGTTAGTAATATTTCTGTTTTACATGTAGCAATGGAACAGTCCTTCCCCAACTTACTACCTATAGTCAGGTCTTCCCTGTCACGTGGAAAATGTGTGGAAAAATTGGCAATGTCTTTAATTTATGTCAGGAAAAACCTCTTTAACTTATCAGTAAAAAAAAACTGAAAAATAAATAACCAATGGCAATGATAAAGGACGTGGACTAGACCTGGTCGGCACAATACAGCTCAATCTGTTACAGTGCTGTATTACATCCAGAACTGCAGTGCATGCTGTTACACTATGAGAAATTGACACATGGTACTAGCATCTGACTGTATTTAATATGATATGAATGATGTTGATCCACAAGGATACCCACTAACTTCATGTTAGTATCACAAGGACTGTTACAGTTTGGGCAGTTACTGCGGAACTGGAGCACCTAGAAAACAAAATTACAAATCAGTTCAACCATGAAAATCACTGATAAAACATGTCTATCAATGCTTGCATGGTTACTATGAGATAAAAAAGGCGAAGCTATTATATAAAGTTCATTGTTGCTAATTGTTATTTTTAAACAGGTTAAAATGAAATTCAAACTTGAGTCCTAGATTATTAAACAATTTTTAATTTATATGACTTCTGTACATTCCGAATGCCTTTTCTAAATGCCTTTTTAAAATTTTATACTCAACTCCATCATGTGATACATTTGTGTCAATAAAACAGAGCTCAAAACAAATTACCTCATCTTTTAAATTGGCTTCCGCAGCTGCTTCTTCTGCTTCTGGTTCTATGTTCTCTGTGGCATCATCAGGCTGAAATGGCAAACACCCACAAGTCAATAAAAGTAACATAACAGGTCAAGTTCCCACCCCTGCAGCAGCCTTGTCAATACCAATTTGAAATGAAAAAAAAAAAAAAAAAAAAACTATAACCTGTATACAAACATTCCTTACTCCACAATAATATTTGACACTGCTTTTGTTTTGCATAAATTTCCATACTTCTCTTCGGATAAGGTGTACAAATCGATGACACAGTTGTATTAATCTACATTTACTTTGAATAATAACACATTTGTGATCATACCAGGATCCCCAGAAGTTTATTTTGTTCCAGATTCCTGGTATATTTTGTAACTGTGAGTCCAGGGTCAGCCGTCAGAGCACTGGGATTCTCAATATAACTGTTTCCACTGGGGTCATTAACAAGCTGTAAGATGAAATATTTTCCATTTACACATTTATATCCTACACTGTGGACCCACTCTAACTGAACACATTGTTTTTTTCCCCAATATACAAAACATATTATTCTCATCTACATAAAAATGAAAAATAAGTTGCAATTTTTCTTTCTCATATTTCACATTTATAAAGCTCTAAATTTTTATCTGGCAAAAATAATAGCGTAGATACAGTTGAACAAGTTCTTCCTTAGAAAACAGACTCATGATATTTGCACAAGAGTATCAGTCCTATGGTTACTATCCATATGTAAAAGTAGACACAAATCTTTGGAAAGGTCGACTTGTTAAAACAATCATCTAGTCAACTACATATCATAACCTTGGCTTTTTATCATGCTGAGAATTTTAAAGCTATAGTTTCACCATTGGGCCATTTCTTCTTACTGTCAACATACAACATAACAATGACTTACAAATATGAAGGGTTTCTCCAGATCTTTTAATTTCTCCAACTTGGTAATAAATTCATCTATTTTGGCTGCAGTATCTGGATCTATTGCCTGAAAAAAAAAAAAGACCAATGACATTTATATCAAATGTAAGTGTTTTACAAAGCAAACAAAGTAAAGCAGAATTATGCTGAGGACATCATAACAGAAGTAACCTTAAAGTTATCCTTCCTCATTTAAAAGTCACTATTATACCAGTCTGATAATCGCAATTGTCTTACCTTCCGTACTGGCTGGTTCTGCTGTAATCCATCCACGGCTCTAGTGATCACCCCTTCTACTGTAGTTAGCACTAAAACAAACCAGGTTGTGCTTTATTATTCTTTTTTAGAGAAAGTTTATACTAAAAGATATCTTGACCAAGGTATCACCACTGACTCAAGATGAGACCAATTCAGGATACCAAGATTGCTGATGTATAGAAAGCCAATTCTTCACAAATTAGTGCTCACAATTTGGAACTACCCCACTTATTCCAAGGTATCATTCTGTGAAGAGTTACTAGTTTTATCATAACATTAAAAAAAGAAAAAAACTGTAACATGAATACAGCTTAAGTTTCAAAACTTGAGTTTCATTTTCTGTCAGTGCCACTTCACATAATGACCATATTTTAAGTATCTGGATTGCAATTTTTTACTGACAAGAAGGATAAAGCTCTGAAACCATTTTCATGAACCAGTTTAAGACTTCTATCAGTCAGTTTAGTTAAGGTTACTTGCTATCCAAGTTTAGCATGTTTAGCTAAGTCCAAAAATCTTATCTTTTTTTTTTTTTTTGTGAAACAAAGACACAGAACTTACATCCTTTGTTAGGTGGAGCCTCAAATTCCAGACTTGGAATGGACATTGTTGCAGTGTTGGATAGCACCACCTGTCTGTTCAAGTCCTGAAACAAGTCCAATAATGTTTTTTTATTATCATTCTAAAAGTGTTGCAGATTAAAACAATTAAAAAAGTTGTATAAAACATACTAAATCATAAAGAACAAAGCAAAGGTTCAAAGACTGTTTGGTTTAAAGTAATGTGATCCTTTTGTGAGAATAATTGATATTTGCCAGCTTTCAAACAAGTGGAGATCTAGAGTCCCTTTAAGTGAAAGTGGCCCCCTAAGAGTTTCTGTAACTTCTCCACCTGTTTAGCTGCCACGGTGAGCTTCAAGATGACCCCCCTCTCCTGTATGGGCCCTGCAGACTGAATCTCACTGTCCTGGTGACCACACTGGTCACAGCTGAACGACGACACAATCACATCCTTGAAAAATGGAATCTTGGTTAACATCAACCTGGTGGTGCCCTGGAGAAGTTATAAAACAGAGATTGTTTAAAAATGGCCTAGATAACTCCTTGTATAAATCACTCTTGCAGTGCTCATGTAGACAATGAAAAAGATCAATATTGAAACCATTATATGATGATGGTAACAATGACAACACTTTAAAATTACAAACTGGAAAAACAAAAGAGATGCTTTCCTAATCATAAAGAACACAATAAGTTGAACAGGTCATTAATATCTTACATGTATATTACACAAATATATAGATATTTCTTTAAAATCTCTACATTTTTCTGTACATGACAACCCATGGATATTTATTTCATTATTCTAGAAAAATAGCATCTTCATCTCGCAATATAGCCCTCTTTCACTCTCACATCATGTAAACATATAATAAAATGGTGCCCTGAAAGAAATACAGGGTACAGTACCTGTTCATGGCAATTCAAACACAGACTTTCTATTTCATGGAACGGAGCATCATCATCTGGGTTGATATTCAGGAAAATTGGTCCATTTTTTTCTGCCAATGCCTGCTCCTCCGTGTTTTCTGACATGTTGGCAAAAGAACCTTTATTTTCTTGCCTTTGTCTTTTACTGATTTTTTCCTGTAGTATAGTTAAAAATAAAATGCAATTGGTCCTGTTGATTTATCTCCATATGACAAACCTGTACACATGCACAGCACACTACTTGTAGAGTAATACTTAACATGTAAGTCATATCTTTTTAAGTTTTATCTATATGAAGACATTTGTGTGCTTTATATTTATATGAATTCAGATATGAAAACATGTGTGTGCCCTAACTAAAGTTCATATATCATTTCTGGCCATATTATTAAAATCGTTTAAAACACTTTGCCGGTACACTATGGTACACTAGTGTCGTATTCTTAAGTCGTTTTCTATGGTTTTATGTTCATAGACCCATCAGGGTGATAGCTGAGCGTGGTATACAGGTTCAGGACTCGAGAACCTTTTCTCGAATCGTCTTACTTTGCAATGTTTACTACTACATTTACTACAGTGGTTTACAAGGTACGCCTTTAAATTGACCCACAGCGATACGTATGTACTCAAAATATTAGTGAACAAACCCATACCTGTTCTGAACTCCTTTCACATACAGTAGCTGTTAACTCAAAATGACATTGCCAGTTTGTTTTCGCTTAAAGGTCAACAGCTTTTTAAAACACATGTGGAACCTCCGGCCGGAAGTTAAATTGCTTTCCCGGAAGTACTAAGTACGCAGCCGCAATCGGTACCATGTGATCTGTTATAACCAATCTAAATCAATGTAGGTATGCACATGGCCGAGGCTGCAATTGCACTGAAACTTACAAAATCAAGAAATTATTAGTAAGACTCTCTGTGAATCAACTCGATCAAGCCACACAATCTCAGAGCACGATATGGGGACGGTTCATGCGGTGGAGGCGAATCCTCAGAAAGCTGGGGCGTCTGTTGGGTATATTCCTGCCCCAAGCATGGTGCAACCCCCGGTCGCCGGTCAACCCCCACCGGCTCAACAAGAACCCCCGCCACAGAAAGAAGATGACGGTCCAGGGACGTTCGAAGATCTTCATAAAGCATGTAAAGGTATGTTGGTTAATGTTGCGTGTTTTTTTCCCTTTGGTTAGTATGAACCTCTCCTGTGCATGTTACACAGCTCGTACTCATTCTCATTCGTTGCTTTCATCATCACCATCTTCATCCTGCATGCAACTTGCAAGGCTCGACAGACCCCAGAATTTCTGCCGATTGCTTTTCTTACAGTTCTTGCGTAAAATACACATACTGCTTTCAAATCTGTTTTTTTTTTAAATAAATAAACTTCTTATGATTAGTTGGTAGAGATACCATATCAGTTATATAAATCTTTATTTTTATCTAAACTAATTATAATTTTCAATATTTGTTGGTGTATACTGTTAGTACGATGTATATTGTGCAATATGCATGTCACTGGGATTTGAAGTCAATTGTAAAGTTAGTAAACAATAAAACTTAATTATTTAAACAAATGAGTAAAGTTTTTTATTTGTTTCAATAGACATTGTTCGTTGTTGTATGTGATCATATGTAGAATCTTTAAATTATTGTCAAGTATATAATTTTTTCCTAAAATGAAATGGGATCAAACACACGTATATAATATACCTTTCATGTATCTCTCCTCACAGATATGTTCCCCACCCCATTTGATGGTGCCAAAATAATGATAAATAAGGGACTAAGTAACCATTTTCAAGTAAGCCATACTTTTACTATGAGCAATGTGAGCCCAGCTGGTTATAGGTTTGGATGCACCTATGTGGGAACTAACCAACCCTCTCCCACAGAGGTAAGAGAAGTGATACATTGTTTTCTTCTATGTGATGTACTTTTGTCTTACTGAGGACTTTGGAACGAAGAGACTTATATTTTTATTTGTTGATTTATTTATTTATTGCTTGTGTAGGTGTGTTAAATGGAGTGCAAATATTTAATTTCTACAGAATGAAAGGAGTATCTTAGAAGATAAAAGTCCAATATTGGGGTGGCGTTAGCAAATTTTTTCATTTAGCCAAATTACTACTTTTTCATCGCTTTTTTGTCCAAATGGTTTAAATTTAACTAAAATCAGTCAAATTAACCCGATTTTGTTTAGCCAAAGTCAGTCAATTTTAGCATTTGGCTAAATTGGCGAGTGTTAGCGCTACCCCAGCAATATGTACTATCCTTCGATGAAATTTTGAGCAATTTTCTCTCAGGTTCACAGAAATTACTATTACAGTACAGGTGACGTGAACAAAAATATGTTCTAAGAGGATTTGTGTAAACAGCAGTCAGATTAAATAAACAAAGGGAAATTGAACATTTAAAAATAATTTCAAGCTGACTTTTTATTTCATTTATTTATTTATTTATTTTTTACATTGTTTTTATTTTAATTTTTCAGGCCTATCCAGTACTTCTAGGAGAGCTTAGTCCAAGTGGAGATATGAATGCTAACATAATTCACCAAGTTACCCAAAATTTAAGAACAAAATTTGTAGCACAGGTAAATAAGACATAAATAATATAAAATGAGAAGGTCTTAGGGAAATATGTTGATTTATTTGAAATTATTTTATTTAATATAAAAAAAGCATTCTGTTGAGCTTCAATTTTTTATTTCAAATGCTTCTTGTTTTATTGCACATAAATTTATAGTAAAAAAATAGATAATGTGTGCCTTAAAGTTACATTTAAGGCAAGCATGGATTCCCTATAATTATGACTTTTTCCAAGATTGGGGGGACAAGCCATCCAAAATTATTATCTGTAGTTTCCTACAAAATTTCAGGGAGCCCCAGCCAACATTGCAAAAAAAAAAAAAAAAAAAAAAAAAAATCTGATAAACCGTACAGCTGTCTTTGAAAATATTGGCCATCTGGTGAAGAGATGCTTAAGATGCTTATTGAGGGCATTCATGTTTACAATGTCTTTTTATTATTATATTATAATTACATATAATTATTATAATATTTTATTATAATTACAGATTCAAGGAGGCAAATGGGTTGCCACTCAGTTCCAGAATGATTATAAAGGAAAAGACTACACGGCCTCCTTTGCAGCCATGAATCCAAATTTTCTAAATGATTCTGGTAAGTGAATTCTAAAAAACAAAAAACATAAATGTAAATTAGTTGACAGTAAATGAATTACTTGGTGGCTATCTTATTGTTATTTTTTATTCCTTGCAAACTATGTATATTCATCCAGACACTTCAAATGGATCTTCATAGATTATTATATGTTGTTGTGTTTCTCTCTCTCTCTCTCTCTCAACAATGTGCCAACATTAAACTTTTATTTTTATTAATTAATCTAATTATTGTATTGCTTAATTCCAGGTATATATGTAGGGCAGTATCTTCAGAATGTCACAAAAAGCTTAGCACTCGGAGCAGAAGTATTTTATCAAAGAGACAAACAACTGCCTGGTCACCAAATAGCAGTCCTTACATTAGCTGGGAAATATACAGGTAGTGAATTTTCCAGTTTGTTAAAGTGGATGTGAACAAGTGTAGTTAAAAACGTTTTTAAAAGTGTTTTTCTGGGGTTAAGTTAAAATTTTCAGGTTAATTGTGCATGTTACCCAGTCTGTCATTTTTGTCTGACATAAAGGGATAACAATTTTTCATTTTTTGCTAATGAAGGTATTTTCCTGAGGTAAACAAAAATTTCCCCATACTTACCAATGTTAAATATTCAAAGTTAGTCCGTGTATTTTTGGTCTTTTGAAATAATCTTTTAAGAGATTATTACAGAGGTACAGCCATCTATGAAAGTCCACATGGTCTCATGGCAAGCACAGATTGCCAGAATAATTGCAATAACTGCTGTTTAGGTGGTAAAATGGAAATTATAATATTTATATGACTTGCTTACAATGAATTTACTGTGAAATATGAATCTCGGATGACCAGCTATTATCCCTTTTACATTGCCATGTTCTACAGGTACTAACTGTCAGGCAGGGTGCAACCTGACCCCAGGGGCTGGCGGTCTACACCTCAGCTATCACCACAAACTGGACAAACAGGTCCAGATGGGGGTTGAGTTGGAGACCAGTTTAAGAATGAGGGAAAGTGTCGCCACGTTTGGGTACCAAGTAGATTCTGAAGATGGTAGTACGACTTTTAAAGGTAGGTTTGGCAGTTGCATTCATGAATTTTTTATATTGTAAAAAGGCTGTTATCTCTGCATGGTTGACTTTCAGGTCTGCTTTATGTTTTTCAGTTTGGAGAATGGTTATTTTCTCTCTTTGGGTGCAGGGAAGTGATTAAAAAGATAATGAAAGCATTTTATTTGAACAATAAAAAAAGTCTGTCACTAAATATATTTTAGGTCAACCAGTGTCTTTGTGTAAATAATATTAGTAATAAAGTTACGTGAATTGTAGAATGTTGAATGTTTGATACTGATAGAGAAGAAAAATTGAGGTAACAAATGCATGTTTTTTCCAATTATTGTTTCAGCTCAAGCAGACACAAATTGGTGTGTAGGAGCAACATTGGAAAAGAAATTACTACCTATGCCCTTCTCACTTATACTTAGTGGATTTGCTAACCACCCAAAGTCTTCCTACAGGTTTGGTATAGGATTTATGGTTGGATAGCCTTTCTTGGACACAGTGCCCTCTATTGTGCACAGGTGGTAACTAGAATGTTTAAATGCTGCATGAACATGACACTTAGGAAATTGTTGTATATTATTGGAGAGAACTTGAGTTGTGGATAGAAATATATGTGACATTTTAAGGATGTTACTCTCTTGTCAGAGGACAGCAGGGTAATAGGGCATCTTTGTTTTTTTATGCACCAACAGAGCTGTATGTCTTCTTTCAGAAAGATGACAGTAACAGTGTCTGGCATTCTCACTGCTTTTTTTACTGCCAATACAAAATGGACCCATTTTTCTTGGGTTAGAAGTTGATATTTTTACAGTGTATTCGTATTTAAAAATTATAAATTAAGTATGTCGTTTCATAATGGCATGTGAGATAACAGACAAATTGCCAAAGGTAAACACATGAAGTGCTTTTGAACGGGTTCTGCTGCTCACCTTACTTATGCCGAGATATATGATAGAAGATAATCCAGAGGGGAAAAAATGTATATTATGTATTATTCTTAGAGCAATTGATCATCACAGTAATGGAAACCAGACAGGTATTATATTGGTCACAGGTTTATGAATTTGTTAAGAGCCAGCTGAAGTACGCATTTGGAATAAGTTTTGTTTCAGTATTGCTGTAATGATTATATATATTATATAAGTTTCCCACAAAGTGATTTATATATGCCTTAATTGAAAACCAACCTTTATTACTTTATCACTATGTCTGTCACAGGAAAGTGCAGAGATATGCCAGTAACTCAGTAAGCATTTTTTTATAATTTTTTATCCCAGCAAGATCTGAAAGTTGTTGTGCATGGCTGTAAAGTAAGATCCTATTAAGTGTCAGTTATTTTGGAAAAAACATTTGAGGTGCCTACTTTAGGGTATACTTCACATAAGACATAATCTCCATATACTTGAGACCAAAATTGGCCAAAATTTTTTATCATGTGGATAGTACATTGGTAGTTGTCTACTTAGAAGATAATATTTTGGGCCGTTTTCTTCAAAGTATGATATGTCTGATGTGATGGACTAACAGTTAACAACTATTATAGCAAACCACTCCACCTTTATCCTGAATAGTAATTAAGATGTTCTTAATTGTGTGGCTGTGTCCTATAGTCAAATTGAGAACCTTGAAAAATCTTACTTTTGTGCTCTTTTCAAGCTTGTTCAAATTGTTTGTTGATTTGTTTACCGTATATCATGCTAAGTTTTCATACACATGAAAGAAGTTTAAATTAAAGATAAGATATAATTATTATTATTGTTATTATTCAGTGCTGATTTAATACTTTTAATTGCTGGATTATATATCAGCATTTCAATATTCATTCCATTTCAAAACGATATAATTATTCAACCTAATATAACATTGTTCCAGCCGATATACTTTCATATCTGCCTCTGTTATGCTAATGACTTGCCTTTTAAAACCAATTGTAATACACTTTTCTCTTTATATGGCTAGAAGGTGAGGGTAAATTGTCTGTCATCTTATATTCCTGTCTTGAAGAGCGACATTGCTCTGTTAAATATAATCTAAAAGATCAGAAAGGTTTATTAAGTTAACACATAATTAGCACGCATTTGTATAAAGGGGTTTTATTGAAATGTAAATGATGCATATTAAATTTAATTTGCCTGTAAAACATTAGTTAATAGTTAGTCCTTATTCATCGTGTATTTTGCTTGTATATTACAATTCCAGAGTGACTGGCTTATGAAGCGTTCCTGCTGTCTCTACACTGGTGCATAACCAAAAAAAAAAATCTTTGTCGCGTTCTTACTTTTGAAAAGAAAAAGACAAAAATAATAATTGATTTTGTGTGAATCAGGGTAAGTACACATGAACCAAGGAGAAAGCCTGCTGTTTCGGCATAACAGCTGCCACTTTAATTTTTTTACCAACACTCTATTATTATTATTTTTTAGCAGTTTACTACTGCACTAAAACTAGAAGAGACACGGATGCAATAAATAAAGTCATGTATGGCGGATCCAATTTTTTTCTATAAATTTCCATGCATCAGAATTGACGTATCATTTATGCCTGATAATTTTCAAATCCTTTATCTTTTTAATATATATATGTAAACTTACAAACTTTAGGATAAGTTTTCCAGGGAACTTACAGTGTAAGTACTTCACTTATTCACCAAGGCAGGTCTTCACGGTTATTCATATAGTCGGAAATTGCTAACCTAAGATAAAAAATATACAAAACTACTTAGGTAGTTGTAATACAACATGTTAACCTGCCAAAATTATTTTTATCACGCGAGGATCCCATAGCTGACCTTGTTTAACTATTAACACCCGCAGTACAACGAGGGCCCCGTGGTGTAGCGGTTATCACATCTGCCTAACACGCAGAAGGTCCCCGGTTCGATCCCGGGCGGAAACACTTTTGTTACATCGCAGCGTTACTGTAATTCGAAATCCGATTGTCGGTTCATAGTGGTTTGGAGACTTGTGGGTCCCAGATAATAAGATGCAAAAGGACATGAGTTATAAGAAGAATACCAGCAGGTCTGTTCTGTGGGAAAATTAATTTCAGATCTGAAATAAACACAGAAGTGAAATTGGTATTATGTCTGCAACATCTGGAATTATATTGAATCTTCACCCAAAAATATATGAAGTTAAGATCACTGACAATAAAAGCAAATATAAATGGGAAGCACACATTTTAGGGGTAAATTTTGAGCTGTTGTCGAAAAGTCCACCAGACCCACCCAATGCTGCCCCCTCTTCTCTTCCACACAACCCTAGTAAGCGTACTTGTAGGCAGATACGGTCTTATAATAACATAATATGATGATATAATATAATATATTAAAACAACGGCTCCATCCTATTTCAGTCATCATTTCAGTCAGAATTTTCAAATGCCCCGTATCAGAAAACGACTGCCACAACCGTACGTGCCATAAAATCGGCGTTAAATGAATGGTTTTGTACACCTATTTAATTTTCTTCTTTTATTATAAATTGCATTCTATTTGTAAACATTGATAATTGAAATCTGTGTCGGAACAATTGAGTAAACAAATAATTAAAGACAGCATTAAATGCTTGTGTAATAAATTCACCAAAGAACCCAGTAATTGCATATTTGACTTTGTCTATACAAAATAATTAACAGATTGAATAAAAATACATTTTAAGCAATGCATTTAGTTAAAACAACAAATTCTAATCAATTTCCCTTTCTCTTCTTTATGAAAAAATGGGTATTTTTTTTAGGAAGTTTTCTTATTTCCATTAAGTCATCATACCAAGGGACAAACCGAATTAAACACTGTCAACCACATAAGAGATTTACGCTGCACCTTCTTCAAAATTTTGGACGTAATTTGGTCTACTTATCTGCCCCGTTTATGAACGATCTTGAACTATAAAGTATTTCGATATACAACTATAGCGTACTGTATATATGCTACACCAAGCTTATTACAACTGAATAGTTCATCGCAACAAAATTTTAAAAATCAACGTCTAGATATCTTCATACAAATTCTTGAATGCATTTCATTTCCACATATATCCACACAACACCTAACCCATAACGACAATTTTATGATTTTTATAACCCAATGTTCCTTATAGTTTTTTGTCATATTAAATTAAAAAAGTTAACATATATTTTCATATTTGCTGTCGGCGGTTTATGAAAAACATCACGAACACATTCCATTATCAAGCGCAGCTTCTCAGATTAGAAGTCCCGAATTTGTTATCCATAATTAAACAGTTATAATAATAATAATAATAATAATAATAATAATAATTGGATGTTTTCAAAATATACATGCATTATTATAAAGTATTCAAACAAAATCTCCGCAGAATATACAAAATTTGTTCAAAAGGTAATGACACAGCGTCCCGGGCTTTGTGGCTCTTGTAAAACTTTGGGAGAACTTATTATACAAATGCACAGCAAAAGACTCTGTTTGCAGAACGCGTTGGAGGTCAGGAGTGCTTTTATCGATGAAACACTTCGTTTTCACTTTTCTATACTCTATCGGGTAAAATGACTTCTGATATAAGCGTCTCACAATGCAAGACTTATTGCTTTGCAAATCCTCAGCACTGCTGACATCACACATCCAAGTGGGATGTCTTCTCGCTACGCGCGTGAGGAGACTTGGTCCGTTCGCCTCCCAGACATTCTGATTATAACTATCTAGGAATTCTTTTATACACTCCCGGAGAAAAGGGTTGTGCTTGTCAAACTTGAGAACTGCTCCATTTAACACAGTATGATCACTGTTTTCCCATGCAGTTACATTATTCAAATCTTTCAAACTCTTAACTAAAATAACGTCAGTGTCCATATAAATGCCGCCATGAAGATAAAGCAGTACTATTCTGATCAAATCTGTCTCGTGGCTATACCAAAATCGTCCTTTTGAAATAACCGGTATTTTTTTCAAAAAGGTTTTTGATCGTTCTGTAAAAGTGTGTGGATCCAATCTTTGCACATTTTTTAGTAACCCTCTGAGAGTATAATTTCTGACCTCAACATGAAAGCCCGCTTCAGTGAACGCAGAAACCTTGTTTTGTGACAGAGAATTGCTTAAAATGCGTACTTTTGCATTGGGATGGTGGTAAAAAATACTCTCGAGCGAACGGCGATTCCTTTGCGTTACTTCACTTGTTGTGTAAACCTGAAAGAACGTCAATGCAGTTCTTTCGTTTGTCTTTAAATGTTTAAGAGGCACTATCCCAAATGTAATCGCCGTTTCTCGCAATCCAGAGAATTTCCGTATCTCGTGCCAGAGGGTGGCGCGAAAGTGCATGTGAATTTCATGATTTGGGTTCATTTCTGGTTTGTCCCAGTTAAAGTTTTCCAACCCCTTGTATGACATCATCTTTCTGTCCACCGTTACTGTATGGAAAAGTTTCGTTAAACCTTCTGTGCGATTTCCTCCTCCTCCGGGTAAGAACGCCGTTTCCACAAAAACAACTGGAATTCCCATGGCAACGCATGGAAGAGCGCTATGGATGCGTGACGTCAAAACCAATTTTGCACGTGAATATTGTTCCATTAAACGGCGCGCTTCTTCATACCGTTCTATTCTGTCAAATTTCATCGAAAAGGGCAAGTTATGAGTGACCCTAATAATTGATTTTCTTATGTGAGAAGGAACAATTATTTCTACAGCTCGCCAATCCACGTCAACGACAAACACGTCCTCTCTTTCTTTAACCGGATTGGGATTGTGCATCAAAAGTGTCAAACAGGCCGACATATACACTGAAATATTCTGCTCGCGTAAAACTTTGACCGTGTTCTCGTCACGAGCACCTACGGATCCATGTTCTTTGAAGTAATTATTCCCAGGCACAGTTAATAGCTTTTTCCGGAAATTTGGTCCAAAATACATGGATAACATTAAAGGCTTAAGATTAATCTTTGGCGGCCATATCATGTCACCGGCGTTATACCATGCGTTTAGAAATATTGTAATTGATTCATTTGGTTTCTTGGTTTGGCCGGACTTTTTTCTTAGATGAGCTCTGGTATCTTCAGCTTCAAATTTGTCATCTCCGGCTTGGCTCAAGTAAAAGGATCTATTATTTATATTATCGAGCTTTCTGTTTCTATTTCTAATGTTTTCCGTCACATTGACAAGTTTCTCAGTAATGTCCGGCTGTCCGTATGTCTCTATGCACGTGACGTCCCATGTGTCACGGTCCACAAATCGGTCAGCAAAAGGAAGAAACTGGATCGCAGCTAGGGTCTGAATCTCATCTCCGGCGTTGATATCTTTCGCCACAGTGACTCGATGGTCAAAGCTTAAGACACCATAAAGATTATCTGGTAAAAATTTGAATACAGGCTCCTTGGCAGTCATTTTAACTTGTTTGTTATCTACCTGACTAAGAACTTTTGAACGCCACAAAACCGAATCGGTGTGCCAGTTTTGGATCTGACTTCTACTATGACTATTGTAAGTTGACTGAATCACAACCATGGTATTTTTGACGAAAGGAGAACGTCGTTCAAACCTGGATATTGAAAATATACTTTCATTACCCACCCATTCACCCTTGAAATATTCATCGGGTAACGTTGAGGTCAATATTGACGGTAAATCTATGAACAGTCCACCAAATGTCCAGAGTGCGAGCAAAACACTTATTTCTTGCATGAGCACTTGAAATTTACGGCCCATGAGCAATTTGAGGATTGCAGATTTGGAAACAAAATCATCCAGGGGAGTATTCTTTGCTAAGACAGGTAGTAGTAAACGAAGAACTTTGGAGCGTTTAGGTAGCTTGTCTTCTATTTGATCCATACATTCACTGTTTCCACACATGAATATTACACTCCTTGCCGGATTGAACTGGTTAAATGTTTTTATTTTATCCATTAACGGTAGAGGAATTGGGGTGTAGTGAGACCACACCATGACAACGTCTGAGGTCGTATTTGAATATGGGCCAAATTGATGATGCGCTGTGAGTAAAGTATCCTCTTTATAGAATGTTGAAAAGGATGATTCGGACTCGTCAGTTATTGGCATAACAGTAGGTAAAACGCGAGTTAACCGACGAGGAGGGCCCTGATTCTCCGGGTAGATGGTTGCACCTTCAGATGACTTGACGGGCCGTGCCTTCGCCCTCAAATTTCGACTTG